TTGAGGCTTTTATAGAGGGAAAAACACTATTCACGGGGACACGTGTCAAAAACTAGGTGGCTGCAGGAATAAGTGGCCGGCCGGCCACCTTTTCTGGCTGGCCGGCCATTCTCTTTTTCAAAAACTGGCCGGCCGGCTCCCACTCTCCATAAAATTGGCCGGCCGGCTCCCAAAGGTGGCCGACAATGCTCCAGTGTACCTCATTGGCCCTGTTTTACCCTTCGAGGGAAAGTTTCAAGCATTTCCATGCAACGGGAGAGTCAAAGGCCTTCATTTCCCTCTGTTTCGGATGCGTTCCGGTGCCCAGATCGTCCGAAGTACGCTCTGTTATTGCTGAGTTTTGTTTATCGAGTTGTTGTTTTGATTATCGAGTTGTTTTTTTGCTTATCGAGTTGTTTGTCAAGTGGACGTGTTTCGTGTTTTCGAGTCATTGCTCTCTGATTAAACAATCTTTGTTTAAGTCTTGTTTATTTACGTTGTCAACACTGTTGTATTTTGCTTATTGAGTTGTAAACTTCCTAAGGTTCTGTTATATCTTAGTAAGTTGAGTTGCTTAGTTTGTTGCGTCGGTTCACTACCTGACTTGGTGATTACACAATGCGCATTCCCATTCAATTTCATTTTTATGCGAAATAAAATGATGCGATACGATGCTAAAAGTTAAAGTACAAACACCTTTTCGAAAGCTGTTTCATTCCATCATGTTTTACAACGAACAAAGGTACAAGTTTTACAAAAAATAAAACTACCTAACAATGTGCAAAGTGCTACAAACTATTAGCAAAAAAAGAAATAAAGCAGAAAATAGCAACATCAATGTCCTCGGGAGCGGGAACGAGAAGCACTCCTCAACCTCTTCTGCGGGACAACCTCTGCACCATCATCATCATCCGGGTCGGAGCCGTCATCCTCAGAATCCCCCTCAGCTTCGTCTCTGTTCCCTGAACCAAGACCGGAGCCCTCCTCCTCGGCAGATGTCTCTGACTGGCGGTCGGTAACCTCCTCCTCCTCCTCCTCGGGCTCCGCCTCCACAATGCGTGCCCTACGTCTACGGGAGGACCCTCCTCGAGCTCCTCGAAAAGGCCTGGATGGCCCAGCTCCTCGGAAAGGCCTAGATGGCCCAGCTCCCTGAGAAGGCCCAGATGGCCCAGATCCCCAATGAGGCCCAGGTGGCCCGGCCCGCGGCGGAGCATATACAGGAGGCATCTAAAAATGAAAAGTTCAGTACATCAGTTCACATATGAAAATCAGATACGAGTAAGTATGTGAGTGGGGTGTGTGTCGGATGTACTCTACAATACAGAAGAACACTCAAAACCAGTGTGTCATCAGGAGTGTGATAAATGCAAGGAAAATGAACGGTACCTGCACACCCATAGCGGATAAGTGTGTCTCTCTCCGAAGGACCATGCCCTTAAGTGCGGCCATCACCCCGAGAATCTCGTTCACATACTCAGCCGGAGGCTGCAGATGCAAAGTCAAAACTATCAGTAAAGGAATGAATGTCTAAGTACTCGACTGATAAATCAAAGCTATAAATCATACCGGTGGTGAATCAGGATCCCTGACATATCTATGGTCAGGAAGTGGAGGCTCTAGCGGAATCTGGTAAGGAGTCCCAAAACGCCATCCCGTCAACTCGGACGGCATGTCCGGCCATCCAGGATGAGGATAAGTCGGAGGAGTTGGAGGAACCGATCTACCCCCACCTCTCGATGTACCAGCCCTACTAGTAGAAGGGGCGTCTGCAGCCCGAGCCCGGGCCTGGCCCGAGGATGACATACCGGCAGACCTCATCATCGGGGTGCGAGCTCCCGTCAATGGAGGCATCAAATATGTGTGACGGTAAGTGGCGTAGTCCCCCTCCTCAAGATATAGTAAAGCATCACTACCCAGCATGGCGCCGACTACCTCCGAGAAAGAGAGTCTGTCAGCAGTCCGCATACTGACTGGGGGTACTGCGGGAGGATCCTGAGAAAGATACCCCCATACCTGACGCAGAAAGCGTTCCCCCAGAAACCATGCCCTGCCAACAGGTCCTTCGAGCAGGAACCTGTACTGGGAGGTGCCCGATCCTCCGGGATACTGAAATCGAAGACCATCACCCAAGGGTGCCCAAGGCTGACATGTGATCTGTGGATAACAAATACATAAGCCAATCAGAAATCAGGAATACACAGAGCAAATCAAAGATGAAAATGAAAAGAACTGAAAGTTCTGAAGTACCTCCGATGGGCGCACAGTGTCAAAATACTGTCGCAGATAAATAAGAGTCTCTCGGGGTCTCGGCCGGTGCGGGCCCTCGAATACCAATGAATATGGGGTCATGGGGGGCCCTGCCACCTCCAACTCTGGGGCTAATGCTGGGAAGTATACATAGACCCATAGCTGAGAAAAGCAGTGCAGAATGTAAGTACAAAGTGCTGAGAACAGAATACAGACTGTAGAGTGCGCTGTGTGTATGCAATGTACAAGTAATGAAGAGCAGAAATGTAAATCAAGGGGACAGAAAAGTACCTCCCAGGCTCGCCAATAACCTCCAAGTAAGTCTCCCCGCCCGCGGGAGGTGGCGCTCATATAAAAGTAAAGGGTAGCCAAGCCGGCGCCACCCCAGTCGTATCGACTGACCTTTGATAGGTCAACCAGAGCGCTCAGCAGATATAACCCGACTGTGTTCCCTCTATCGGCGAACAGGGTAGTCCTGAAGAGGAACATAAGGAAACCACGGGCGTACTGCTCCGTCTCTTCAGGAGTCTCAGGCACCATCTCCGTCCGCCGGAAGTGGGAAGAGAACCAAGTATATCAGGCTCTCCCAGAAACCCTGTCAACAGGCGGGCGAGCCCCCAGTAGATATGTCCAAGCAGCCTCCCACTCGCCCATGTCCTCGTCATAGGGGATGGACCAACTTCCTATGTCTAGGCCGGTCAACACAGCGAAGTCTAGAGGGGTCATAGTCATGTCCCCGGTGGTAGAGAAATGAAAGGAGTTGGTGGTGTCCCACCATCTCTCTATCAAGGCCGCCATCAGTGTCCTCCTGGCAGAACAACGTGACAACCAAATGCAGAAGGCCCCGAACCCTACCAAGTCTACTAAATCTCGGACACCCTCCGAGAGCTCAGCGTACCAGTCCCGCGCGGCGGTGGAACCATACCCCCGTACACTGCGAGAACCAACCTGCATTCAGAATGAATACATGTGTCAATAATGGAAAATCTGGGCTGTATATGATCTTATATGCATTTAGTTGAATTTTGTGCTAAGATTGCCTTGCATTTATTCTTCATCATTTAAACTATTTGTGTATTTGTGATTGAGATTTTTTTAAAACATATTTTCATAGTCAGACATTAGTAATTTCATCTCCCATGCCTTTCAGGAGGGAAAGTGAATATGCAATTTTACTGGCAATGAATTTATGCTATAAAATAGAGTTGCCAGAAGAATCTTTTGACTTCAATGCTTAAAATTATAGCATGATATTCAGTAAATGAATTTATACAGTGTGTTGTCAAACTGCATATTGCAATGAATTAGAAAATGAACAGAGGGTAGAGTATATGAAAAAAATAATGGTTGTCAATAATGAAAGGAGGATATTACTCTAGATGGAGCTGCATGTTGCAAAAGAATTCATTGAGTTGACTCCAAATAGACATGTTTAATTTTGTTAAATTGAGTTTTTCTGGCAGTATCTTGTTCTCTTATATGCAGCAGCAGCAACTACATTCTAATTCCAGCGAATTTCTGCCATGTTCAATATTACTGGACTCATATCATGCTTTTTATTCAACTGGCAGGCTCATTCTCTTTATTTTTCGAATTGTGTCAGAACTTGGATGAAAGTGTGAAAATGCATTGGATTTTTTTTTGTGATTCTTATCTGCCTCCTAGATTAATATGCATACAACCACAGAATATGTTAATGCACGCCACTTTCGGTGCTTAACAGCCCATTTTCGGGACCCCGAACTGCGTGTTTTGACCCCCGAACATTCATTTTGCAACGGTTTTCGTTCATTTTTGGCAGGTACCTCTGTTTTATCACCGGGGAGGTCACTGAAGGGTGAAAGGCCAGTAATTGTTGCAGCAACCAGTTATACATCCTCCGACGCCGCTGGCGGATTGTACCTCCCGGGAATAAAAGGTCGGGTCCTCGGGGGTAGAGTCATGGGATCAAAATCGTCTCCGGCACCTGGAAAGCCTCCGCCGTGGGGAGAATTACCCGCCATTTTCAAAGAATCTGCAAAAGGAGCAAAAATGAGCGAAAATGAGCCAAAATTGAAAGAAGTCAACAAAAGTCAACTCTCGGGAAATGAAAAAGTCAACAAAAGTCAACCCCCGGGAAAATTTTCCAAATGTTGAGACAAACTCACCTCAAGTGGCGGAAATGAGAAAAGAAGCTCCGAAACCAAAATTTGATCAGTTCAAAGTGCTTAAAACTGAATATTTTTCCGAAAACAACTTGCGTGGGGCGTTGGAAAACGCGTTTGGAACTCAGATCTGGAGAAGAAAGTGGTGTAGGAGGCAAGAAAAGAGAATATCTCGGCTGCATTTATAGGCTCCAAGCCTTGGGATGAAGGAGCATAAAGAAAAGAGGTGAAAAGACCGAAATACCCTCGAATTTGGTCATATAGCCGGCCGGCCACCTTTTCCAGCCGACCGGCCATTTCCTTTTTGTAAAACCGGCCGGCCAGCCATCCACTTTTTGTAAAACCAGTCGGCCACCTCTTATCCCTCATAAAACTAGCCGGCCATGTCCCTCACAGGCTCACCTAGTTCCCTGCAAATTTTGAGGAAGATTGGAGTTCCCGGGACCTGAAAAGTTCAAGAAAAGTACACTTCCGGTCGCGAAATTGCTCCGCCGGAACTTCAGCTTCAAGATCTGACATGTGTCTCATCATCATTCATCAAAATCAAAGTGTATCCTTTTTGAATGAGTTGTAGCCTTTTCAGGAAGTGGATCGGAGGCCGTGATCGAGTCGCCTGCATTTAAGTCACTGTGTTTGCCATCTGTTATTCCTGGACAGTTTGCCGGAGGCTTGCCCAAAAGCTTGCCAAAAGGTTGACTGGTCATGGGCTCTACCATGATGGGAACACAACCCTTGGATCTGGACTACCACTGTACCGTTTGATCCTCCTTTCACTTCTCGGTGTTAGGTGTGAGAGGTATATTAGGTAGTCTTGCTGAGGTACCCTTTTGACCATTTGGCCTAGTTGCATATCGAAGAGCCATAGAGACTATTCCAAACTAGAACAGGATGCTCACCCGAATACAAAATTGCGTGAAACCGCTTTGTTTGAATAGTAAACCCTAGCTCCTGACGAAACTAGTATAGGGTAACCCTACCCCCTTATATGGGTGTTTTGGTTCTCACTTAACCGGTATGTGCTTTACAATGAAACTGTACAGGAATGTACGTATTAGTTGCAAGTTGAGTATTCATTTTGGGGGGAGAATTCAGTGTTGAGTGCAGTCCTAGAGCTTTGATTACATCTGTGTGTTGTTAACATCTGAGCTGAGGTGCTGCACAGTTTTTTATTATTGTTTTCTTTTTGCTTTATTTCTTTTTGCTAGGTAGTACAACACTATAGCTTCAAAAAGTTCAGATATCCCCTAAGCGCTCTAGACCCGTGTCAAAAGGCTTTGCAAAGCCGAACATCTTGTTAGGGGACATCATGTGTTTACTTTGCTCCCACCGGTTACTAGACGGAGGAGAGTCAGGCTAAATTCACCAGTCCAGTTTCTACAGCAGTCACCCTTCACTTCACCTACATCTAGTCAGGCTCAGTATTCTACATCTAGTTTAGTATGAGATCATTCACCCATTCCGATGGCACAATATCCCCCAATTAGCATGGAGGAACTAATCTACCACCTTCAGCAAACAGTTGAAACTATGCAGCAAGATGCTGCTCGTCAAGCCAAGGTCATAGTACGTCAAGCTGAGGTAATAAACAGGCTACAACAACAACAACCACACTGACAGCAGCTTTTGTATCTCATGCACCAGCTACGGGTATCCCAGCACCCGGAGCCACTGCCCATGCTGAAAATCAGGGCAATCGGGCATAGCTAATCCCACCACAAGCCTCCAAAGCACTTGTGTATCAAATCGAGGCTCCATTTGAATTTGAGGTTGACCCAACCGTCCTTAAGGTCAACAAATTGAAGAAGCTTTTCAAGAGAGCACAGGGTGTTAACTCTATTCTCGACATAGAAGATGAGTATACCGACTCTCCAGTGACATTGCCAGATTGGTTCAAAATGCTGCAATTCGATAGATTCGATAGTTCTAAAGATCCCATGGTTCATCTTTGGCTCTTTTCAAACATTCTACGGCCGATAGGCCTGACCAGGTTGCCGAAGCTCTCACTCTTTGGTCGTACCATGTCTGGTATAGCCGCTATATGGTATGCGAAGCTAGACAATTCTGTGAAGCAAAGTTGGGAGGAAATGGCTAAGGCCTTTGTTACACAGTACTCGTACAATACGTAAATCGAGGTCACAACTCATGATCTTGAGGCAAAGTGCCAGGAACCAAAGGAGGGCTTCTCGGAATTTGTTACAAGGTGGAGGGCTAAGGCTTCAATGATGACCACATGGCTTTCTGAGAAAGATCAGATAAGGATGGTAGTCCGCAATCTGCATGGGAAGTTACTATAGAAAATGATCGTCCTACCATTGTTCACATTCACCAAGCTCCATGAGATGGGGGTTCAGATTGAAGACACCATGAAACAAGGGCTGATTACTGATGAGAAAGAGTAGGCCAAGAGGCCCTTTGTGTGCAATTCCAATGCAACCGCTAGTGATAGCACAGTTGCACGACTGTCGGATGTGAGAGTTGTCACCACCACAACCAAGACCACCAATCCCTTTGCCAATACAGCTCCACAAACTTCAAACAACCCTGCCCGATCCCAGAGGACCTTTACCCAACTCTACATGCCTTTATCTCAAGCCATGAAGGTGTTGATCAAAAAGGGGCACCTTAAGCCATTAGAGCCTCGCCCACTACTTGATCCCCTCCCACCTAAACACAACCCAGCCAAGTACTATGCGTTTCACCAGCAGCATGGTCACGACACCGACCAATGCTTTAGACTACGTCATGAGATTCAAGACCTCATTGACAATAAGGTGATTGCACCACCCCAAAAAGAAAATGTGACCATAAACCCTCTCCCGGCCCACAATCAAGTTCCCCCACCTCACAATCTAAACCTAATTCATACACTGGCCATCCCCTACGACCCCAGCGTACATATTACCCCTTCCCACCTACCCAGACCGACGGTGTTCATTCCTGAAAGCATAAATTTGTGCATGATGGACACGTCCGCACTTCAACCTAAACCTGTGGTGGTGACAGTTGCAGAAGAAGGGAGGTTGGCCTTAGAGGAGAGGATGAGTCTATAGACACCCCATTTTGACCGTCCTTAAAACTTGGGCACTACTAATTGTTTACTTGGTGATGAAAGTTGTGCAATGCAAAGGTTCAATTTCTTCGGCAAGAGGAGCTTCAAATCCTAACCTCACACCCCATTTGTGGTCAAAAAAGATTTTAGACCTTAAAACCCTCTCTTTTAAAATGTTTTTTGAAAGAAAGTTTCTACAATGTTTCGAGGCTCGCATTTTGTTAAATGTTGTGCTTTTTGGTAAATCGAGCAAGGACAAAGTGGAAATGAATGAAAGAGAGGTGAAATCATTGAAAAAATCTTTCAAAACACCTTAGTTAGAGGTTTGGAGTTGAAGAAAAGAGGAGAGGAGAGAAGAAAACTAGCTGAGGAGCAGTTAGGTAGGAATCCGAGAGGACCAAAACTGAGCAGTCTTTACTAAAATAGGGATATCTCTTATCACACTTGTAATTTTGATATGAGGCTACCACCATTGGAAATCTTACTTCCGGGGCTTCAATTTGGACATAAGAATGACTTGAAAAGGAGTCGAGATGAAGGAGATATGCCCATTTGAAGTTTGACATGCAGAGCAGAATTTTGCTGTCGGCCACTAGTTGTGCTTGGTCGGACACCACAAGTAGCTGACCGGCCACTTATGTCCAAAAAGCTCAGAAATTGCAGATCTTTTGCTCCAGCTGTCTTCCAAGTGCTCCAGTTGTCTCTAAATTAGATATTTCGACATTGAGCTCTTGTTTTGCTATATATGGAGGCTATATCTCAAATATTGGGAGGTTAGCAATTTTGGGAGCCTCTCTCTCTAGAAATCCTTTTTCTCTAGAAGATTTGTGATCAAATTCTTCCCTCTCTCTAGAATTCTCTCTCTCTCCTTTTGTTTTAGGCTTGAAAGTGAGAATTCCCTACATATTTTTGAGTGCAAGGAAAAATGGGTATCGGTGGTGTTGATAGACACTGGTTCAGCTATCAACGTCTGTCATTCGCACACAGCTTATGCCATTGACCTTAGACCGGCAGATTTTGTGCCCACAACCCAAGTAATTCAGGAATATGATAATACAAAAAAGGAGGTTATGGGCACAGTGCAAATCAGACTCCAAGTAGGTCCATTTCAACAAGATGTCGAGTTTCATGCCCTGAATGTCCCGACCACCTTCAACTTACTACTATGGACCCCCTGGCTGCATCATGTGAAAGCAGTCTCCTCTACCCTCCACCAAATTTTGAAATACCCTTACGAGAAGGGAGTGGCGATTGTTTTCGGGAACTCATCCATTCACCCACCGCCAGAGGTAACTACACCAGTGTTGGAAACCAAACACAGAGAGGAGGATATTTTCCTCTCAGGATTCACTCTCGCTGAGGCCTGAGTAGTGCAAACCATCTTGGCAGCAGATGAGGGCATGTATGTCAGTGCCCAATCTGTTTATTTCATGAATAAACTGCAACATGTGCCAGGAATGGGACTTGGAAGAAGTGGCCGGAAAGGTGTCACAGCATTGGTCGATATGCCACATAATCCACATGCCTTTGGTCTGGGATATGTACCAACCAAAGAGGACTGGATCAGGAAAAGAGAAGAGATAACAGGTAGAGCCAGAGCCAAGTAGGCCGGGAAACACTATGATTTTATCCACAAGCCAATCCAGGGAATGTTGAATGGCCGTTTCATGCAAGAGGGAGAGGATTTCCTCTTTTGTGGCTTTCCCGAGCCTTGGATGAATTCTACCAAGCAGTGTGTTCCTGGATTCAAAATATTCTTTGACCTGCAACTGCAAGATAGTGATGCCGAGGAAAAGGCTGAGTTAAGTAC